GGGAGGGAACGCCCCAAATTGGGGTGGGGGCGCCCTGAAAATGGGAGGGAACGCCACAAATTGGGGTGGGGGCCCCCCAAAAATGGGGGAAAGCGCCCCGAAATTTGAGGTCCCAGTTTGGGGTCCCAATTTGGGGTCCCAATTCGGGGTCCCACCGCCCCCCCCAGGCTGACGGCGGCCGAAGGGACCCGCAGGAAAGACCTGGAGCGGCTGAAAACCAGCGAGGAGAAGGGCCGGGAACTGGTGAGACTGGGATGGGGACAGGGGGGACACTGGGTGACCCCGAGGTGTCCCCGAGGTGACCCCGCGGTGACCCCGAGGTGACCCCGCGGTGTCCCCCCGTGTCCTCGCAGGAGCGGCGGCTCTCGGGGCTGGAGCGGGAGCTGCGCAGGACTTGGGGACATCCCCGCGCTGTCCCCGTGTCCCCGAGGGGCTGCGACGAGCCCGGCGACGACGCCCAGGCCACCAGCGTGTGACGCGGAATGTCGCCGGGATGTCGCGACATGTCGCCGAGGCAATAAACCGTGGCGTTGTCGCCGAGCGCGGCTCTGTCCCCGTGTCCCCACCCTGGGTCCCGACGGGTTTTGGGGGCTTCGAACCCGGTTGATTTGGGGGTGCCGGGGTTTTTGGGGTGCCAGAGGTGCCCGAGGATGGTGAAGGCGTCCCCTCAACCTCTTCAGTGTCACCCCAATGTCCTCAAGTGTCCCCCAATTGTCCCCAAAAGTCCCCAAAAGTCCCCAAAATTCCCCATCCACCGAACACAGAGTTGAGTGGGATCAGATTTGGGGTCTCTCCCCGTTTTTTGGGGTTTCACCCCCGGTTTATTTTGGGGTGCCGGGTTTTTTGGGGTGCCAGAGGTGGCCGGGGATGGTGAAGACATCCCATCAATGTCCCCAAATATCCCCCAAATGTCCCCAAAAGTCCCCAAATGTCCCCAAAAGTACCCGGAAGTCCCCATTGAGAAAGCACCGAGCGCACAGAGTGGGATCAGATTTGGGGTCTCTCCCCGTTTTTTGGGGTTTCACCCCTGGTTTATTTTGGGGTGCCGGGTTTTTTGGGGTACCAGAGGTGCCCGAGGATGGTGAAGACATCCCCTCAACCCCTTCAGAGTCACCCCAATGTCCTCAAGTGTCCCCCAATTGTCCCCAAAAGTCCCCAAAAGTCCCCGGAAGTCTCCAAGCACCAAACACCGAGTTGAGAGTGGGATCAGATTTGGGGTCTCCCCAATTTTTTTGGGGTTTCACCCCCGGTTTATTTTGGGGTGCCGGGTTTTTTGGGGTGCCAGAGGTGCCCGAGGATGGTGAAGACATCCCCTCAACCCCTTCAGAGTCCCCCAAGTGTCCCCCAAAGTCCCCCAAAGTCCCCAAAAGTCCCCAAAAGTCCCCATCCACCGAACACCGAGTTCAGAGTGGGATCAGATTTGGGGTCTCCCCAATTTTTTTGGGGTTTCACCCCCGGTTTATTTTGGGGTGCCGGGTTTTTTGGGGTGCCAGAGGTGGCCGGGGATGGTGAAGACATCCCATCAATGTCCCCAAATATCCCCCAAATGTCCCCAAAAGTCCCCAAATGTCCCCAAAAGTACCCGAAAGTCCCCAAAAGTCCCCATCCACCAAACACCGAGTGCAGAGTGGGATCAGATTTGGGGTCTCCCCAATTTTTTTGGGGTTTCACCCCCGGTTTATTTTGGGGTGCCGGGTTTTTTGGGGTGCCAGAGGTGGCCGGGGATGGTGAAGACATCCCCTCAACCCCTTCAGAGTCACCCCAATGTCCTCAAGTGTCCCCCAATTGTCCCCCAAAGTCCCCAAAAGTCCCCAAAAGTCTCCAAGCACCAAACACCGAGTTCAGAGTGGGATCAGATTTGGGGTCTCCCCAATTTTTTTGGGGTTTCACCCCCGGTTTATTTTGGGGTGCCGGGTTTTTTGGGGTGCCAGAGGTGGCCGGGGATGGTGAAGACATCCCATCAATGTCCCCAAATATCCCCCAAATGTCCCCAAAAGTCCCCAAATGTCCCCAAAAGTACCCGAAAGTCCCCAAAAGTCCCCATCCACCAAACACCGAGTGCAGAGTGGGATCAGATTTGGGGTCTCCCCAATTTTTTTGGGGTTTCACCCCCGGTTTATTTTGGGGTGCCGGGTTTTTTGGGGTGCCAGAGGTGGCCGGGGATGGTGAAGGCGTCCACGCTGCCGCTCATGGTGCGTGCCGGGAGGCGGCAGAAGCGCCGCTGGTCCGACTGGTATTTGTACAGAGCCTCCACCATGGGCAGGGGGACGCTGCGGGGTCCCGACCCCGAAAGGCGTTTTAGGGTCGGGGGGATCCCCCCCAAAGCGTAAACGCCCCGGAATTGGCAGCCCCCGTCCCGGAATAGGATCAGGAGTTGTTGGGCTGAGCTTTGTTCCATCTCCTGAGGGGGGGAAGGGGCGTTTAGGGGGGGTTT